GAACAATCAATTTAGTTATCATGGGGTTTTAAAACACTATTTTGTTGGTCTAGGAGACAACTAACTGGTTTTGAAAAGATCACCTCTTTTCAAATCAGCAAGAGCTAAAACAGATATAGCATAATTTGCTACCTGATACAGTAATTTTAAAATGTATTTTATCATATGCTGTACCCAATAATGGAAAACTCTTATGGATTGCAATGGAAGCAAGAAAAACCACATTATAGTATAATATAGAACTGTTTTATAGTTCAGTATAAAAGTAATATCTGTATGTATTTTTTGATTTCTAAGTAGAGATAAGATTCTCATTTTTTTTAATATGTAAAAGGAACAAACATCTAAAATTCAAACACTGACACCCATATGTTGACAACAAACCCACATATTGGATGAGTGTGATTCAAGAAAAGGGAAAACTTACAGATACAGATGTACACTGTATGGGACTAATATGCCTTGAATGATTAACAACTAATGATGCCTTCTGGCCTTCAAAAATTAGAAAAGCTATCCCACCTCTATAGCCCAAAATAGGATCCTCCTATGAAAACAACAGGAAAATGGTTCACAGCACATGAGCCACTTTGTCTAAGGAGCCACAGATCAGCCAAGGTTGTGCATTCCCCTGCCCAACTATAGAAACTAAAATGGCTAAATGGGGGCATTATCAGCTAGGCAAGATCCTTTCATTATCTGCATATGTATAAACCCTTTTCTTCCTCCCAGCCTAGCTAAAAAACTCCAAGTTATGAAACAAGAGTGATACCCCACTTTTCTCTGCAAGTGACCCATTGCACATTGAGTGGATCAAGAAGAAATGGGTGGGTAAGTTGCAAGTTAAACAAACTAGAAATGAGCCTATAAGATTGAAGGTCAAATTGGGCAAACTGTTACCCCAAGAAATCCAAGCCACGTTTTCACTCCAATTACAAACTATACACTGTTTTCTTGTAAATCAAATACACTATGAATAATCTATTCTTCACCCCTAATTAGAATCTGCACATTTGTCTGACTTGTGAGTCAGATCTATATACTTCTATATGTGGAAAATGTCTCATTCTTTTTTAGGTTCTAAACAATGTGAAATGCTTAGTATAATCAAAGAATGTATGGAGTGTCTCCTCCAAATGTAGATGATTATAAGAATTTTGCTGGTTTTCATTGTAAATAATTGTTGCATTCTAGAAGTAATACGAATTGTCAGGCACAAGGAAGAATAAATATTGAAAGATATAAACCAGGGTATAACTCTGGAATATTAACAGAAGAATATTAACAGAAATTGCTTAAGGGGGGAGAGGGAATCCCAATTGATAGTAGGGGCAAATAATGAAATGCAATCCTTGAAATGAATCAAACTTAAAAAACCTCCAATAAGAAAAAGATTGAGGAAATTTGTTATAAACCAACACCATCTTCAAGATGCTAATGTAAGCAGCAAAGAAACTAAGAGAGGGGAAATCTGGGACCCACTTGGCACATGTCCAATAGGAATCAGAGGGTGGCCCTTTCCTATGAGCCCTGAAACTAAGATATACAAACTGAGGTCACCATGTGCTCAAGGGAGTTGAGTCAACCCAACACAAAAAGCTGCAGAATCCCAAGTGTGACCGATGCCTAGACCAGCTGTGTGGAAGGAATCTCCACCTTCCCAGGATTAAGAGGATAACATGAAGAAGTGGTGAGATTTCATTCCCAAGATTGTATTTCCCCTTCTATTCTTTAACATAAATAAGTGTAGGTTATTTTGCTGAGTCTACACGCTCTAGTGAGACCTCAAGTAACCATATTTTAGATTCTAAGAGAGCTTGAAAACAATAACTTGAAGCAATTGCTTTTAATATTCTAAACTTGTCCCTTTTGGACCAGTTTAGTCACAGAGAAGTAACCACTCTTCAATATGCCTTAAAGACAAGTGCACCCATGAAAGTGTGATAAATGTGCTAGTATTAAAGAATTGATGATCACTACTAAATGTATTAAGAAATCTTGGTAATTTGCATATTTCCTTGATATAACTGCTGAGTCTCAATTGTAGTCTGTTACAACTGCTTGCAAGACTGTATTATGTAGTACACACAATTGGTTGTGTCTGTATTTGAGTGGTGAACTATTGGTTATACATTAATGTGGTTCTGGATGAATTAAATTGTTTGGTTAAGAATAAGCAACTGTCCTATTTGAGAAATACTGTTTAAGTTAAAAGTTTACCTGAAAAGAACCCAGCGTTAAACTAGTAAGCTAACAGTCCCTGGACTCAATAAAATATTGGATTCTAATATATAGTTCTTTATAATGTAATATGGCCTAGTAGATAGGGCACTGGACTGGGACATAAGAGACCTCGGGTCTATTCTCATCTCCGTCACAGGCCTGCGGGGTGATCTTGGGCAAGTGACTTCACTCTGCCTCAATTTCCCCATCTGTAAAATGGAAATAATTATAATCACGTTTGTTAGATTTTTGGCTGTAAAATCTAACAGGTAGCCTGGCAAATTCATAAATTCACACAACACAAAGACAAGAAACATACCAACACCACTTCATCACTTTTGTATTTTATTGTGGAACTGAGTTTGTTTCCTTTACATCAAATATCCTCAATGGAAGAGGGGATATTGCACACAAATATCATAAAAGCACTACATATTACTTTCACTGGAAACTATTTTTCTACATTAGATATGACTGGATAGAATAGAAGTGATGCAGGATTATAAGACATATTACCATACACAGCTGCAGACTGACACAAACACCATTCAGAACAAGAGAGAGGAGTGTGTGAGGTGCTTCTCAGCTGGCAACAAGACTGTTTCTTTCCATAGTTTGGAAGATATATGGCTGCATGCAAACATGTGAAAGCACATTGTACTTCATAATTGCTCTTCTACTGTTGTGATTACAGCCCAGTCTTGAATGAATTTTATGGATAGCTCCTGTCATCTGGAGCGCCTAGCTAGCTAAGTGCAGAGAAGCTTTTTTTCCCTTTTTTTCTTCCTTTTCAATATTTTTATGCTGCCTTTTTATTTAGTTATTTGATTTTTTTTGTAAAGTCACAACAAACAGATTTTTGTTTAAATAGCAAACATTTTTAATCAGGTGAATAACATAATTGCATTCAAAGAAATGCTTGTCATTAGGTTGCTTTGTGTTTTTGTTCAATTATTAAGTGAAAAGATGAAAGCTTACAGTTTCTTTCAAGTGTAAACATTATAGTTTTTCCTTTTCTAATAAATCCAGACCAAAAAAATTACCATTTCTCTCAAAATGTCATCACTAAGCAAGTACCTCCGGTGACAGATGAATAAAGAGGCATATGACAGAAATTTCAAAAATGCACAGTAATTGTTCCTCACAGCTGAATTTCTTGCAGTGGGAAGGGTGGAAAATTCCATTAACAAAACTATTACATCTTAGCAAATGAGTACTGGAAGGCTCCTAAACCATATAAGCTATTGGAGACAATTTTAAAAAACCCATATACACAATTGGATCCATTCACCAGAGTGAACTCTATGGGAGATGGAATTAAAGGAAAGAGACAATGTAGTCAGCCCCAGCATGAGACTTTGAGAAGGCATGCAAGGGGATCTGTTTAGGCTTGGAAATGGATGTGATCTCCAATGTTAATTCTTCATTGAATTTTATTCAGCAGTGCAGTACTACCATACAGGTCATGATTGGGAATGATGTCATGGGTAACAACATCATTTAAGTAGAGTGTTCTTTACACTCAAATATTGAACCTTTATAATTAGAGTAATCAATATCAAACCATGCTCCTAGAAATCTGTGCTGATCAACAGCGCTCACCATTAACGTACATGGTACATTTTGATGACTGTTACTAAACTAATTGTGTATGACTATGACTAGCACAATTAGATTAGTTACACAGGCAGGAAAGGCATTAAGGGCAAGAGGAGCTAATTGGGAAGTTAATAACTCTCAGCCTTGGTTGTCATTTAGAAGAGTGGATGGAACAATATTACAATATCTTATAGGAACAATGTCAGCTGATTCAAAACAGCTGACTTTAAAAAAAAAATTCTGTAGCAGCAAAAAATCAATGTACAATTTAAGATTGGCTGAAACTGGCTTTTTTTTTTTTTTTAAGTAAAACAATTATTTGAGCTGTTACAAATTTACTTGGGGTGTTAGAAATTTAAAGCTTGTTTCTGATTTAATTTATACTAATTTACCCTCAATTTCAATGAAGCTACTCCTGATTTACATTGGTATAAGATCAGTCTCAAGATCATTGCTCATTAGATTTTCTATCAAAGTGGAGAAACAAACTACTTCCAGTTTTGGGAGAGTCTGGAATTTGCTCCCCGAACCCAAAAAGTTTGAAATCTTACCTACATGAGAGAGTAGACAAATCAGAAAGAATTGTGGTAGAAATAATACAATATTCTGCCAAATCAGCTAACTAATAAAATATTTTGCCTTTCCCTTCAAAGACAAAATAAATGTTAAGTAAATGATTATGAGCTCAGCAAATTCCGCTTGTTTTCACAATACATTTCCCTTTGTCTTTTGTATCAAAATCATTCTGAGTTATTTTCAAGGATCTAAAAGGTAGACCAATAAATAAAATAGCATTGCTAATGATATCTAACAAAAATATTAAAACAACCCCCACCCACATATGACAAACAGTAATTCACAGCATTAAATGGGCTACAAGGGCCCAGATTTAAAGGGCTCTGAAGTAGTATTAAAAAAAAAAAAAAAAAATTAGCAGTGCAAACATACATCTATCAAACAAAAATAAACTAACAATGTTAACATTTAAAATACATAACACGTAAAGAAAATAAAATGAGGTCATTGTTAACTATCTAGTGGAACTCAAAGCCTACCATAAATGTGAATTGTACAGACCAGCACAAATCTCCGTTTAGGAGGCCTTTCTTTACCTTATTTAAATTCTGATGCACAAGTCTGCAAACTGAAATGTAACAATATTTTCTATAGTGGAGTCCAAACTCTCTTTAATAGTGGAACTGATCTGTATGCTGTACTTTTGGAAATGATCTGTAGACACTGGGAACACTTTACAGAAAAAACAAACACACACACACACACACAAAGAAAACCAACACCCCTCTCCCCCCACCCCCCAAAAAACAAAAAAAAAACCCCAACAAAACAAAACAAAACAAAACCTGCTTGGCTTATTTAAGGTAATCATTGCTTTTTTCAATCTTTTTAAAGATCTTGGGAGAACTGTGAGTCTAACTACCACTTTGTAAAAAGCAGTCAACTGGCATTTCAGCTCCTATTTTTTGTGAGCACTAATAGATTAATTTAATCATTAGGGATTTTCCCCAAAAATTCTTGGCAGTTAAATGTTTTCAATAAATATGTTACTGCAATATCATACTTCATTCTCACCAGAACCTCAAACAACATTATGTATTTCTTACAAAACTATTAAAAAAAATTGCCTTCACCTGAATTTTTTTTCTTTGCATTTTCCTGTAAACAAAAACGTTTGTTAAAAAGTCATCTATTAAAAGTTCACACAGAGCTAAAAAAAATTCTTCTATACATTTGTTCCCATATTCACTCTTAAATTAACAAATAAAATAACATAAGACAAAGGAAGGTAAAATACTGTACAGACTTGCTGAGAACCTTTTTCAATATACTGTGTTTCACTAAGTTTTGCATTTCTGATAGTGGACACCACTTCAATCTTGCTTCCGCAGTACAAAAGCAGCTTTCAAAAATGCTTGTCTTGTTTTGTTGAGCTGTCCAGGTGTATCAATGAAGTGTTCAGCCAACATACATAATTCATAGTACCAAGCTGTTTGACCAATCAGATAGGCTTCTAGTACCACACATGCACACTCACACTTCTTTACTGGTGTAACTATAATCCTAAACAGATGTTTTATAAACTTGCTGTCTCACATTAAAAAATAAGTGCATTAAGTATCTTTGTACATTCAAGTCACTTTCTAAGGCAATTTGTCTACTGTATATACTCCCCAACTGCTTTGGTATTTTGCTTCAGTAAATTGGCTGTTGACTTAGGTGTTTAAGCATGCAGGTTTGTCGATTCTGAGTGGACTAAATAGATATTCACCGGGAGCATGCCTTAGACCAACATATTTGCATGTTAAAAGAAAAGTTTTAGAGTTCTGAATGGGGTTCAAACTACTTGCATATTTAGTCTATGATAATTATGTTATGTTAGTATGCAGAGTTCAAATTAGTTAATGGATAATGAGTGTTTAGATCTTATGTCCCTTCAAAGCCACATTCAGTTTCCTTTTATTATTAGTTCACATAATTTTGTAAACTAAGGCCCCCTATCCTATAACTCAGACTGATACAAATTTAAAACTTTCTTTTCATGTGAGAGCATAAGCAGACTGCAGTAAGCAATACATCTATTGCCGTGAGACTAATGCAGACCCAATTATTTATACTTTCTCCTCCTACCCCTCTCTCTATTTCTCTCTCTCTCTCTTTGTGTTTCTTTCGAGGGCAAATGCCTCTACCTGGCAGAAGTCAGTTGGGTTTGCTAGTGCATGGTTTCCAAATGTTCAGCGGAGATGAACCAGGATCTGTAATTTTGCAGTAATCTGAACCCTACTTTGGGAATACCGTTATTTCCCTTAGCAATCAGCAAAGACTGAAAAATATTAGTGACTTGCATCACCGTGACACAGTATAGCATTTGGCAGGTATATAGTTCAGCAGTTGAATTAGATGGGTTGAATTTTTAGAAAAGGTATTTTCAAACTGAAGAATTTCTGGAAATAAAGTTTAATGTTGTGGTGTATGGCCTTGTTTCTACAGTTCAATCTTGCATGCAGGGAAAGATTCATCTTGCATAACAACAGTGCTGCTGCTTGCCAAAACCATGATGTTGAGGTCCTGCTGTTTCTCATGGGTCTCTTGGTACCATTCCCTCATCACTTCTGAATCATGGGTTGGGATTAAGGTCACCTACAATAAGGAATAGGAAAACTCTTTAGGAATGGACAGAAAAAACAACTGATGTGAGAACAGAGTCTTCATGCTAAAGTCGTAGTCAACAAGTAGATTTTCTTTTTGGAAGCAAATGGATATTTTAAGCAAGAAAATAGGCAGGATATAATAACAGCAAAGAAATAATTTACCAAAAGAAAAGCTTGAGTCTGCAAGGTATTGTGTTGCATGGAAGCTAAATGAATGGTCTCTAAATGAAAAAACTAACTGAAGATTGCACTTACAGTGCTGCTGTAACCCACCGGTAAGCGTGTTTCATGTCCCCTTCTGTGCTGATCCACAGAGGATATGAGTAGCTACAGTCCCAGTCACAGAACCTTTGTGCTTTTAACTCAAACTGTAGCAGCTCCTGCTTTTACCTCAGAAGGTCCCTAACTTCAAACCCCATGTGTTGGCCAAAATGACAGCCATCACACAACAATTCTGTAGACTGCAGAGGGACCTTTGGGACTAAGGCAGCATGTTTAGTGTTTTATTTATCATGTCTGAAAGGCAAATGAGGTGCCCTAGAATTACATGTTTGCTACATAAATTCAGGCAGCATTCACAGCTTCAATAGCTAAGAACACTTAGGTCCAGATCTTGCAAGGAGTACAATTAGGGCATTTTGAAATTATTATTATTATTATTATTATTATGAGACACTTTTCAAAATATTTTCTACATCACAATTTGTACATATACAGTAATACTGTACAATAACAAATTTCTAAAGCTTTTGTATATACAACAAATAACTCCTGGAAAAAGACAGAAAAAGCAACACAAGTTTAATACAGATATTTCTAAGGGCTTGTCTATACTTACGCGCTGGTTCGGCGGCAGGCAATCGAACTTCTGGGTTCGATTTATTGCGTCTTGTCTGCACGCGATAAATCGAACCCAGAAGTGCTCGTCGTCGACTTCGGTAATCCTGCTCGGCGCGAGGAGTACGCGGAGTCGACGGGGGAGCCTGCCTGCCGCGTCTGGACCGCGGTAAGTTCGAACTAAGGTACTTCGACTTCAGCTACGTTATTCACGTAGCTGAAGTTGCGTACCTTAGTTCGAATTGGGGGGGTTAGTGTAGACCAGGCCTGAATGTAACTGTTCCTATGCTAGACTACTTGGGAAAAAACTGCAGAGTGCAGTCAGGCAGCCACTGACTCCAGCAAGCAGGGGCAGGGCAGAAGCAGCCAAAGCAGACACTGCTGCATTGGGACAGGATGGGTGTCAAATGGGGACCAGCCAAAGACATCCCTCTCTCCAGTGCTCGGCAGGACCCAGAACTATGTAGGGGAGACACCCTTACTAAGGGGGCACTAGGATCAGGTAGTACCTCCCCTTCTGTCTCCCAACTCCCCATGTGACCTTGGGAGAAAACTGCAGAGTGGAGCCAGCCAGAGACTCCAGCTAGTAGGGACGGAAGCAGCCAAAGCAGGGACCTTTGGGCATTTGGCCATTCCGAGAACTTTCTACAGTTTTGACTACTTTCTCTGCCTTGTGCTGTTTGCTCCAGATCTCTCCTTCACAGTCTTCCCCCTCAGCTTCACTCCATACCTACCCCTCTTCTCCCCTGCTCTGCCCCCTCCCCTTCCCTTTGCTTTCCATTTAGCTGATCCCCTTCTAAGTAAACCCACCCTAAAAAACTAAACAAACAAAACCGTTAGTACCCATGGAACTAATAAACTAACATGATTTTTTTTGCCATCACATTGTTCCCGCTGTTTGTATGTTAAACCTCTTCCCTCATCCAGTGTCTATCTTCTCTATTTACATTGTAAGCTCTTCGGGGTAGGGAGCATCTACTACTCAGTATTTGTACAGCGCCTAGCACAATGGGGCCCTATTTTGGTTGGCCCTTAGGAAATACTGCAATAAACATGACTAATAATAATAATTCCAATGAGTACAATCTTGTTCCTTAAAATTTATCCTTCTCTTCACGGATCTCCTGATATGCTGAGTAAATTCCATTAAATAATGTTGAGTTCCTGTTTTATAAAAAAGCTGGAAAGACTCTCCTTTTCTGTAGGAAAGGAGAAGTTTAACAGGATGGCACTGGAGGCAACATTTTAATAAAACTGTGTTTAATATTTTTATTCATTTGAGCTGCCAAATGTATGACCACTATTCCTCAACGTTTTTCCCCACATGAAGAGCACAAAAAGGTCCCTGTCCTCTCTGATATTTATTTTGGTGACACAGATTTGGCACTCAGAAAATGAGCCAATATTGAATGAAAGAAAGAAAGAAAGAAAGAAAGAACTGGATATGACCATATCAGCCACACTAGAAATAATAATTATGGAAAGGAATCTGGATATCAAATTAACTGGACAAAGAAAAATAAAACTGCTTTTATCTAAACTGTTCTACTCAATTACAAGGAATTGGTATAAATAAATAACCTATTTAGGCTTACTGTAAATAAGAATGTTATTAACATTGTAACTGAACGTTTATTACACCAGCTATTGTGGAAAATTTTACAAGAGAGGACAGTTTGTTTGTTAGTCTTTAGGGGAATTCTTGCATCATTGAAATGGCTCTTCAAACACCTTTTATACAGTAGAAACTCAGAGTTACAAAGACACAGACTGTTGACTTAATACAGCTTTGAAACTTTACTATGCAAAAGAAAAATGTTTTCCCATTTTTTTTTGTAGTTTACATTTAACACAGTACTGTACTGTGTTTTCTTGTGTGTGTGTGTGTGTGTGTGTGTGTGTGTGTGTGTGTGTGTGTGTGTGTGTG